TTGAATTGTATTCTCGTCCCTGGATATCTAAATACTAAATAACAAACAACTAACTTTTTTTTACTGTTTAATTGGCAATTTTAAATATATTGGGAAATTTTTTGTCTATTAATTTATCGATTAAAACTTTTTCCAGATAATTCATCACTCAGGGCAATTTTCTACAAGATCGCTCTTTAATTTCCTTTATACGTTGGAAATTCCATGAATAGTTTTGATTTTCCGTATCACCGACTCATCTCTCATTTTTAGCGATTGGCGTCATTTTATCTTTAGTGCAACTTAAAGAGTTAGTTCGTATTGTGCACTTTATTGATATTCAAAACAAAGGCGTTTTCAACAATGTTAACTAGCATTTAGTTTTGCCTCCGACTCTCGAGAATTAAATTTTAACGTTTCATTTCGTCTTCGCAAGCTCAAAATTTAAATCGTAGCTTTTAGAACTACATGTAGGAGAGGTGGCGAAACATTGGTCAGTCCATGAAAGCGGAAAGACTTCAACACGGGATAAACCTAGTGTACTAATACACTTTTTTAATTAAATTGTTGTTTGTCTATTCTACTTCAAATACACTTATTGGTGTAAGTTAATTACCTCTGTGATGCAAATAATATTCGAAGATATTTTTCAAATTCACAGGTATACCAATGCTCTTTTTGTATCATTCACCTCCCTCTTGAACTCTTTTTAGCCAAACTGTCTCGAACTTTGACAAACTGTTTCAGTGAATCTTACGAGTGATACATTGGTGCGCTCTTTGTATTTACTCACTGCTTTGCTTAGGTGGCTTTGTTTGCCGCGTGAATAGCCGAGTGAACAACAGCACGTAGACAAATTTACTGAAGCATCTACTTTTTAGCTGACTCATACCACACGCCTCGGTGGTTTTCTCTTCAGGAGGTAACGAAAGACAGTTTTTTTTTTTCTCAGGCTCTTGTCTCAAAACCTTTGGTATCAATTTGGGCGACTCACGACCTGTCACCTCAGAAATCGTGATTCTCTGCTTTGATTGGTTGGCTTTGTTGGCTTGTGAGTGCATGAAATTTCTGTCTCTGGAGGGTGGGGGGGG